TCTTCACCTGGCACGTCCTCACAGAAGAAGAACATGTCCGACGTAGTGACCACCAGCAGCTCTGCCTTCTTGTCTCCCTGCAGGCCAGCACCAGATGAGAGCCTCTGTCCCCTGTCTAACACAGCAGAGCAGAGGGGTCCCCACACAGACCCAGGACCCCAAGGACCAAACCAACACGCTTGCATATCATCCCTGACCTAAAGAGCTCACTGGCTAAAACAGGATGGTTGAAGTGGCGTCACTGCACCCCTTCTGCAGATGGGATGCTGGGGGCACAGCAAGATTAAATTGGGGGTCAATGATGTACCTGCGGTGGGAGGGGGATACGCAGTGTGTATATTGCAGCCCTGAGCCTCTGCTGCAAACCCCTGACCCTCCTCACGCATTACTTCTCTCTGAAGATGTTTAATTTCAGCTAAATGCAACACGAGGTGTTTCTATCCGACTTGTTGATGAAGACCCCAGAGCCAGAGGCTTAAAACAGCTCTGCTGCTCCAGCCCACCACAGGTCCGGGGCTGTTGTCCGAACTCTGCTGACCTTTGGTCCTGAGCCTGCTTTCGAGACAGGAGACTGGTAGATGTTCAGAGTCAAACCTGCACACAAAATCCTTGCCAGGACTGGAGTAAAACCCATAGCTTTCAGCCCTTTTCAAAACTAGGGATGTACTCTTTGCCCATCCTTCCTCTTGCGCTCAAAACCAGTGCTAAACATTAACTATGTTCCTCGCTGATACTGCCTATTTTCATATTGCTTTTAATTACACCCACAATCATGTCCATTAAGTCAATACGATCCTGCCCTCAATTTAATGACAAACTCAGGGAACAAATGACATGTTGTACAAGAAACGGCAGAGCTTTTCCTTTCGTCCCATTATGTGGCTGGGTTTTGGTAGCGTTAGGCAGGTTTTAGTTGGCCACTGGCTGGAGAAACCGAAGGATCAACATCCTGGAGGAGGGTGAAGAAAAAAATAGCTCCGAGAGGGCATGTCACATTACTCAGACACGCTCACATTGACAGAGTAATCTTCGTCATGTGCCAAGGAACCTGTGATAAGCCCTCTCATAGTCGGATCAGTAATAAGATCAGTTACTTAATTCAAACTGATTAAAACCAGGCTGGGCTGCAAACAAACAAGTCATGTCCGTGGGTCTGCGCATAAAATATATATCGGAAAATTAAAACCCTTCTGGGCTATCATGATTCATCATTAGTTCTGGGCATGCTATAAACAATTTTGTGGGCAAATGTAATACTTTTTCTCCAGCGCAGCCCACAAACAGGCTGCCTTTCCTACAAGCGGGCTCCTGCTTCAAATGCATGTGACAAATACATTTTACAAACCTCTGGGTTACCCACCAGCCACGAGGCCACGAGGACTCAGCCCACTCTGGCTTATTTTTAAGCCAGTGCTGGGGCCTGAGGCACCCTATGGTTGTAGCTGGTCCCCCCAACTCCTTAGGAGAGCTTGGCCCAAGAAAAACAGTCCCACTTCCACATCAAAGACGTTAATTTCCTACGCAAAAGCCAATTTGGCTTTGTGACTATGCGAATCATAGAATCATAGAATGGTTTAGGTTGGAAGGGACCTTAAAGATCATTGAGTTCCAACCCCCCTGCCATGGGCAGGGACACTTCCCACTAGACCAGGTTGCCCAAGGCCACATCCAGCCTGGCCTTGAACACCTCCAGGAATGGGGCAGCCACAGCTTCTCTGGGCAACCTGTGCCAGTGTCTCACCACCCTCAAAGTGAAAAATTTCTTCCTTATATCTAATCTAAATCTGCCTTCTTCCAGTTTGAAGCCATTCCCCCTCATCCTATCACTACATGCCCTCGTAAAAAGTCCTTCCCCAGCTCTCCTGTAGGCCCCCTTTAGGTAGTGGGAGGTGGCAATAAGGTCTCCCTGGAGTCTTCTTTTCTCCAGGCTGAACAGCCCCAACTCTCTCAGCCTGTCCTCAGAGGAGAGGTGCTCCAGCCCTCGGATCATCTTTGTGGCCCTCCTCTGGATCCACTCCAACAGGTCCATGTCCTTCTTATGTTGGGGGCTGCAGAGCTGGATGCAACCTGCCTTTCCTAATCCCTTGTCTTTGGGCTCCAAAACTGCTTCGGTACAAATTATCCCGTGCCCACAGTAATAGGATGCAACTGACAGGCGAGTGCCCCAGCAATAGCAGGGAGTGGTGGAAGCGGCTGCCTTTAATGACTTTTCATCTGGAATCGGACACAAGCGACAAAAGAGGATTTTCCATGCCACGGCTGACATCCAAGCCACCAGGAGCTGCGGTGGATCTGCGGGGATCCACAGATGACGAATCGTGCTGACAAACGCTGGACGGAATTCTCACCAGGAAAGCAGCTCAGCACAGGTTACCCTGATTTCTCTTCCCTCAGATGTGGTCACTGAGAGTTTCCGAGCGTGACAGTGCCGTGCAGGGTTCCCGCCCAGTTCCCTCCCACCTGCCCGCATCCCCCCAGCACGGATACCCCCGGGGCTTCGGTGTGAGCATCGCGTGGCAAGGAAGAAGTTACAAAGCAAAGCGAGCACAGTTTAAGCATTGTTTCCCTGGCTGAATGGAGGTTCAGAAGAGGCACGACAAAGGCAGCGGTTGTTCCTCACCAGCTTTGTTCTCCTCGGGGTCAAGGGGAGGGTTGGCAGAGTGCCATGGGCTCCCCCAAACCCCGAGCAGCTTCACAGAGCCCCGCAGCCGATCCCCCCCACATCGTGCTGGGACAGTGGCAAGTGTCACCCATTCCAGCGGCGATCAGCAGAAGCTGCACTCCCACGCTGGCGAGGGGAAGGCTGGGGAACCCCAAGGATGGAGAAACCAGAGCTGTCAGCCATGAACCCGACAGCGAGCGGCATCGCCCACCTGCAGAGGGTCTGATCACACCCTCCCGATTTGAGAGGGCAATGGCTGCGCACGGGAGGAGACGCCGGGGTCAAACACACAGCGCGAAAGAGGGAAATGCTCTGAACCCGCTTGGGGGGGGATAAGGATGGAGTGGATCCCAGGATTTGGTGTCCATAAGGAGGCCTCACGAGAGAGCAGACCCCAGTAACGCCAGCACTCGCTTTACCAGCGTGCGGCTGTTACCTGTACGCGCGCATTTGAGGTCCGAGGGACTGCAGGCGCCCGAGGGAGGCAGTGGGTGGTGCAGGGCCGCCGGCAGTGCCGGGCTCACCCCACGACACGACCATCTCCTCACTCTCCCGCAGCCAAAGCCTGAGGGGTGACTGCCAGCGGGAAGGGTTGCAGGCAAATGTCACTATCCGGGAGAGGAGCGAGAGCCACGAGTTCCGCAGCAAGCACGTGTGCGCATACACGTGGGACCCCGCAGCTGGCACGGGCTGTGGGGCACTGCCAGCCTGCGGCCACCACCACCTGCGGGGGACAGGCAGGGGGGTGACCCGAGAACTGGTGTGGGCCAGGCTGGCCCCTGCCAGGGCAGGCAGGGAGGTGTGACACCGCCTGCCTGGGACCCCCTGTGCCCGGCGCACTGCGTGTCTGCAGCCTCCTGCGGCCAGGAGACAGGGTGTCCCAAAGTCCCTGTGCACAGGCCTCCCTGGACCTCATGTGTCCAGGCCCCTGTGTCCCCCGGATCCCATAGACTCAGGACCCTGTGCCCCTATGCTCTTTGCACCCTATACCACCTCATATCCCCAGGACCCCATGTGTCCTGGACCCCATACCCCCTTGACCCCATGCTCCCTGGACCCATGCCCCCACACCCTCTGGACACCATGACCCTGGGACCCCATGCTCCCAGGACCCTACACCCCCTGGACCCCAGGCCCCCAAACCCCTGGGACCCCAAGCACCTGGGACCCTATACCCGCAGGACCCCATGCCCTCTGCACATCATGACCTTGGGACCCCATGCCCCTGTATTCCCCAGACCCCATAGACTCAGGACCCCATGTACCCATGACCCCATGCCCCTGGACACCTCTACCTTCTGGACCCCATGCTGCAGGCACCCCATGCTCCTGGGACCCTATGCTCTTTGCACCCCAGGACCCCATACCCCCAGGACCCCATGCCCCCTGGACATCACGCCCCTGGGACCCCATGCCCCCAGG